ATAAACCCCCTCTCTTCTAAGTTGCTTTTGTGCCTGGATATTTTGCCAAAGGCCCCGTCTCCTCAGACCATCACCTTGGGACTAGGATGTCAGCATATGACCTTGAGGGACCCACTGCAGTAAGAGGTTACCCAGGCACTTGTGTGTCCACAGTGAAGAACTGTATGAGAAAAGGAATCAATGTCAGGTCTGATGATGAGCACATGGTTCTCTCTGGGGACTGAGTCATGTGATAACAGCTGCCAGCATTGAGCTACCTCACTAAGAGGGGTCTACTCCCTCGGGGACCAGAGCACCCCTGGCTTAGACACCTACCTCTCAGCCTCCTGTGGTAGCTTTGTCCAATTTCTTCCTTATTCTTCTTTCTTTTAGATGTTTTTTATTATAAAATATCTCATACATATAAAAAGTACCAATGGAAACACAACAGATACCTCTATATGGTCTCCTTGTTTAAGAGTGAATATATGCTGGGCGGTGGTGGCACCTTTAATTCCAGCACTTGGGAGGCAGAGGTAGGAGGATCTCTGTGAGTTTGAGGACAGCCTGGTTTACAAAGCAAGTTCCAGGACAGCCAGGGCTGTTACACAGAGAATCCCTGTCTCATACAAAAAAAAATGAGAGAGAATATTTGAGGCACTGAATGTACTTGAACCCTGGTCTCCACCCAGCTCCATTCTTGCCCACAAACTGAACTTGGTGTTCTTTCCTAATGTGTCTGTAACCTTCTACTACACATTGTACACATTGTCTCCCAGAACACTAGCATGCCTGGGATTGCCCTGTCTGTTTCTAAGCATCTTGGTGGTTTCATTTTGTCTGTACTTCTGTGCTATGTATTTTTCCTTGAACATTGTTTGAGGATGCTCCACACTGAAACGTGCAGTTCTGAGCCATCCTCTTTAACCCCTGTGGGTACTCCACTGTGGGAGCAGTCCACACTGTATCCACACTCCTGACAAACATCCAGGATGCTCTCCACTTTTCCCGATTGCAGGCAATGCTGCCATGAACACCTGGCCACCCCTGAGCTGGTCTTAGAAGCCTTTAGAGGTCTGGACATGCCCAGTCTTCAGCAATGAGCACCTCCAGCCTCACCCAGCATTGCCAGGAGCTATTCAGGCTGGTTCTGACCAGTTCACCTCTCATCCACAGCCACCAAGGGTCCTCTTTCTTTCACACTGCTTTGACTGAGACATAGGGTGTCCCCCCAAGGACTCATGTGTCAGAGGCTCTGTCCTCCATGTGGGGATGGTGAGAGAATGATGGGACATTCTGAAGGTGGAGACCAGAGGGAGGAGGGTGAGTCACTGAGGACACTCCCTCAGGGGGATCAAACTGGTCCTTACAAGACAGAGTTAGTCCTCATCAGAGCATTCCTGTAAGAGGAATCTTGACCTTCCCATTACTCAGACTCTCAGTATTGTCCTGATACCTCTCACTTGGTCTGCCCACAATGCCATGCTCCAGGGCCCTCACCAGATGGGAGCAAAACCACCCATGTTGATTGGACTTTCAGTCTCCAAAACTGTGAAATAAGTAAACCTCTTTTCTCAATAAATATCCAGACTCAGCCATTGTATCATAGCAACAGAAAACAGACCGATGTACCTTGCCAGGCAGATGTGTAGGAAATTCATTCATCACTACCTTAATTTGAGTTTCCTCTATTCTAGCACTGAGAATCTGAAACTTGGATATTGTTTACTTTAGTGTTAACCCTGTGAACTGCCCCAGCATGAAGAAAATAAGCTTTTCCTCTGCCAAAGCAGCCCGCTGTTGGTGGGCCTCTCCCTGTAAAGGTCACCCCTAAAAGACTCTGAGCCCAATGAGGCTGTGCTTACTTGACCAAGCTCAAACAGGGTCACTCAGCTGAGGTTTGCAGGTGTCTGGGTGCCTAGATCCTGTGTACCATCCAGTTCTTCCAACCAGTGTGGGTTGTACCTGTGCCTATGGAGTCTCTTCTTCCAACTGGTATGAGTGGTGTTTGTGCCTCTAGGGGCCACTGATGTTGTGGGGGATGGTTGGCCAGGGGGAAGATGATGGGTTTGGTGGGTTTGGGCAGTGGAGTGGGTCTCTTCTTCTAATTGGTGTAGGTGGTACTTGTGCCTCTGGGGGATGTTGATGTTGTTGGGGATGTTTGGCCAGGGGGAGGATGGTGGGTTTGGTGGGTTTGGGCAGCGGAGTGGGTCTTGTAAGTTACAGAGTCAATGAGTGGTGGCAGGGTGGTGGAGCAGCCTGCCAGCAGGACTCCAGGTCCACTCTTATTAGAGCACAGACAGTTGGGTCCAATGTTATGGCTTCCTCCCTCTTCTTGGCAGAAGACTAAATCCAGAAGCTGAGGCCTCTGGGCTGCCAGAGGCTTAGAAGAGGGGTCAAGTTCATGCCAACCAAAATTCAGAAATGCATTCTCATGCCATGATTGCTGGGCCAGCATAAACCAGGACTGTGGGAAAGTCCAAAGACTCAGAAATAAAGGTGCTCTCCGTGATGCAGTTTGGGATAGCAACAACAAAAGAAAATTTCTGAATGTACCAGAATGTCTTAAGTCACAGATGACCTAATAGAGTGGTCTAAATCAAAGCTTATAATCATTTTAAAGTCTCCTAAGAAATACCGACACTAGAGTAAGTCTTTAGGTATGAGTCTCCTGGAAATGGTCTCCAAAGTCACCCGTAATTATATTCCAGTACCACGAAAGGAGAGTCAATAAGGAGCCTTAACAGTACTGAATTACTTGAAATGCTCAAAAAAAGATGCTTCTGCAGGGGAGGCCTCAGTCACTCCAGACTCGCTGCATCTGGACTTCCAGCCCAGAGGGCAGGGGTCACTGTGATGCCTATGCAGGCTGAAGGGTGAGAACCAGGGCCATGGGGATTGGGAAATGGATGAGAGGCATGTAAAGTTAAGAAAAATGGCAAGTTACATCCAAGTACAGTACATATAAGAATAACCTTGTTTGGGGTGTGTGTGTGTGTGTGTGTGTGTGTGTGTGTGTGTGTTTACTAGCAGGTGCCTGGGAAATCCAGGTTAACAGCCCTGTGCCTGCAACGTGATTTCTCAACATCAGTGTACCACTACTATATTGTCGGATGCTCAGAAGTGTCCCTGGTCTCTACCACTAGGTGGCCTCAGCTCCCGTATTGAGAGCAACCAAAAATGTCTGCAGATGTCACCAGATGTTCTCGGGGACAGGGGCAGGGAGGAGGCAAGACCCCAGACTAAGAACCAGTGTTCTACAAAAAAGGTGGTCTAAACATCTTTTGTTTTTAGAATGTATGCCTATTTTTTAAAGCTTTCTTCCCCGAAAACAGATATAAAGTGTTTTTGCTCATGCGGGAAAACAACAACAACAAAAACAAAACAAAACATGATGTTTCCATTGCCTGTCAAATAACAACCCATTTGGATGTAACTGTGTTCACACTAGTATTTATAGTCAGTACACTCACTTTATTACAGTTTCAAAATAGTTCTATAAAATTACCTAAAGACATGCTCCAGTGTTGATATTCCTCAGGAGACTTTAAAATGTTTACAAGCTTTGAGAATGGCTTCCTGACATTAAATATGGATGTCCCTTTCTATCCATAGGGGACTGGCCCCAGGGACCCATGTGGATACCAGAATCCATGGGTTCAAGTCCCTTAGCAACAGGGTGTATGTGCATACAGCCTGTGCATCCCCTTCTGTGGGCTTCAGATAGTCTCTAGGTCATTTTAAAAAACCTAATAAGGGTGTGGAGATATGGCTTACTCAGGTGGTACATGAGGCCCCGGGTTCAATTCCCCAGAACTGCATAAAACCAGACATGGCAGGAGCTGGAGGGATGGCTCTGAGGTTAAGGGCACTGATTGCTCTTCCAGAGGTCCTGAGTTCAATTCCCAGCACCCACATGGTGGCTCACAACCATCTATAATGAGATCTGGTGCCCTCTTCTGGTGGGTGGGCATACATGCAGGCAGAACACTGTATATGTAATAAATAAATTAAAAAAAAAAAAAATGCCAGGCGGTGCATGCCTTTAATCCTAGCACTCGGGAGGCAGAGCCAGGTGGATCTCAGTGAGTTCGAGGCCAGCCTGGTCTACAGAGTGAGATCCAGGACAGGCACCAAAACTACACAGAGAAACCCTGTCTCGAAAAATAAAACAAAAACAAACAAACAAAAACCAGACATGGCAGTACAAGCCTAAAACCCTGCCACTTGGGAGGTGGGAACAAGAGGATCAGGAGTCAAAGGTCATCCTTGGCTAGACAGCAAGTTTGAGAAAAGCCTAGCTAAGATACAAGACCCTGTCTCAAAACACACACACACACACACACACACACACACACACACACACACACACACACACACAACTTAACACAATGTAAATACCACATAAATGGCTGCTGGATTATCTTGTTTAGAGGTAAACGACAAGAAAAATTGTAAGAGGCAATTTGTAGAGGGAATCTTAGAAGGTCTTATTAATAAAAATCAAAGCTGAGGCCAGTTATTGGGGTGAACTGGAAGACCAGAGAACTAGAACAAGCCACAGCTACCTCACAGCTACCTGTTTCCTCAGACTGGAAGCCTCTGTGTCCTCATATCCGAATGGCTCTCAGATGAACTGTGCTGCTAGAAGCCTGAAAGCTTAACCAGCCAAATGCTTCTAGTTTCTGGTCCTCATGCCTTATATACCTTTCTGCTTTCTACCACCACTCCCTGGGATTAAAGGTGTCTGTCACCATGCCTGGTCGTTTCCAATGTGGCCTTGAACTCACAGAGATCCAGAGGGATTTCTACCTCTGGAGTGCTAGGATTAAAGGTGTGAGTGCCACCATTTTCTAGCCTTTGTATCTAGTAGCTGTTCTGTCTCTGACCCCAGATAAGTTAATTAGGGTGCACAATATTTTGGGGAACACAATACCACCACAGCAATTCCTTTTTTAAAGGTTTATTTCATTTTTATTTGGGGACGGGAGGGAGTACATTCCTGCATGTGAGTGCAGGTGCCCTTGGAGGCCAGAAAAGGAAGGATGTCAACTCCTCTGGAGCTAGAATTACAGGCCGTTGTAAGCCAACTGATGCCATGCTGGGAACCAAACTCTGGTCCTCTTTGAGAGTAGCAAGCCATCTCCCTGGCCCTAAGAACCAGTTGTGAAAAAAACATTTTCTATACAAAGTTGTTTGAATGCAGATGTGGGACCAGTGTACATGGAAGGCCAACCAACTCTCTTTAAAAAGCAATTTTAAATAAAAGCAATGTTCTACAAACAGGGTTGATTTTTTTTTTGGGCAGGGCCACTTAGGGAAGCAAAATTGTGAGCACTCTCAAACCAACAGAGGCAGAGGAAGTTAATAGTACATTCATTTGATAAACTCTCTGACGGCAGTAAAGTGGTGATTGTAAGGAGTTCATGACAGTGTAGGAAAAGGTGTCATCGCATTGTCAAATAGGAAAGCATGAAGATAAAATTAGAAATGCCAGGTTATCACTAGTGGGTACCAAAATAAAAATAATTCTACACGCCATCACAGCCGAGAGATATGTCACGATGTCCAAAGCAACTGCTAACAATGCAACGTGGGTAATTTTTCCTGTCTCCTTTTCTGAAGAGTGCGGATTTTCTACATAATAAACTGGAGATAGGTGTAGCAAAAAAGAACAGCAATGTTTATTTTTTGATGCTTTCAAAATGATCACAAATAAAAACGAACCAAATTTTTAGGTAATGCTGTGCATTTGCACTAATCTAGATACACATCCCCATGTAGTTGATTAAAAGTAATTTTGCCCCAAATTAAGCCAGCTCAAAAATTAAACTATAAACTAAAATGCATTTGCTTCTAAACTCAGTAGCCCTGAGAAGGAAAAAAAATGTAAATTGATTGCTACACAGATGGCCAGGAAAATGTTGTATATAGTCACATAAGTTACAGACAGGAAATGCATGTTATGAAAAACCCCATCATATTTTTTCCTCAAACTTGGACCACCTTCTTCTGAAACACAGGGTCTCCGCCAAAAGGAGCTCAAATCATTTGGGATCTGACTGGAACTGGCTGACCAGGGGCAGGCTCCAACCACCTTGTTCAGTTGATTTAACTGTTCACTCTCACCCGGGGCCAGGGCACCTCCAGACACGGTCAAGCAGACAAAAGGCATCCTTCTGGCTTTTGTCAGACCGTGTTTGCTCAGCCCAGCCCTTCCCAGGTGGCTGCAGAGCCCCCTTGTTCCTGTGTCCCTTCTCCTTTCATGGGGACTCAAGCTAGATCTTACAATAGACCTCAAAGAGAGCAGCAGCTGCGTGCATCCGGTAGAAAATGGAGAAGGGCATGGCCAGGTTGACCACAATAATCCAGGGTTCAAAGCCAAAGACGATTTCCTCCAAACCGTTGTCATACTCAGGGCGGCAGCCAAAGGCAGGGGGAATCCAAAGCTGAAAGAGAAGGGGCAGCCTTCCGTCACCATTTCACCAAATCCTGCCGAAGGATGCCAGCTTCCGCTACAGGTTCATTGGCAATACCCCCGAGGTACATGTGTCCCTAGCGGACAGGCTACTAGAAGTTAACTAGATCACATGGGAACTAACTTCATCGATGGGCTAATCCAGGATAGAGTCATAGCTGAATGGACCACTACAGAGTGAGAAACAGAAGTAGGGAGGCCACTGGGGGTCGCTCGAACGGACATGTCTTGTCTCCAGACCTGCCTGCCCTCTCTTTACTCTGCTGCTGCTGGGAGGTAAGCTGCTCTCTCCTCTACACTTCCACCGTGATATTCTGTCACAGGCCTGAAAGCAATGGAACCAGCCAACCAGGGAACCTGAAACCTCCAGAAGTGTGAGCCCAGATCTGTTTATTGCTAGCATTGTGCCACAGTGCACAAAGGCTGACTCTGTGGTTAGAAGCTTCCGAGATACCTGGGGTCCCCACGCAAATCCCAGGCACTATGGATGCTGACCCAGACTCACACAGCAGTGAGTGACAAAGGCCAAGGGGACTCTACAGCACTCCTCACCTCCATGGAAACCAGCAAATCTACGAGCCTTTACTGAATGCTCTTCATCCCTCGTCTTGCCTTCAGACACAAACTCATCCGTTTCTCTCCATTCTAGCAGTCCTTACACACCCACTCGGCTTTCTGATCTGTAACTTAACTCTCTCTAGAGGGCGCTGATGAGAGTGAAAAAAAATCAAAGAAAGCCAACAAAACTTAAAATAATAAACTGCTGCTCTTGTCTCTCATGTCCCCACATCCTTCTCAGCCTCTTCTCCTCTTCCTCCCCACTGACCACGCTCTAGGTTGCCAGGGCCGCCTCTATAGCTCCGGGGCCCCTTTCTTACTTACTGCATATTATCTATCTCTCTGGCTCCCGGGCTAGGGCAGGCACCCTCCTAGCAAAGGACAAAGGGTGATTCCAGGCCAGCAGCTGCAAGGAACTCCTGTCTTCTCTCCAGCAACCCACAAAGGGGCTGAATCCAAATCCCCAAAGAGAAGTCTTGCAGCCAACAGCCTACAGCCAGGCTAGGATCATGAACAGACACCTGGTGGCTCTGGGTTCAACATCTGAAGACGCTACATGATAAATAAATACCTGTGGTTTTAAGTTGCTATGTTTGGGGTTATTTCTTACACCGCAGCAAGTGACTAATACATACTGTCTTCTTTTTCATCTCCACGCAGAACTCTCTCTGGAGTATATCCTGCCCCACTTTTTTCCTCTGGCTTCTGGGGCTTCCCCCTTCCATCTCAGACCTTTTCCCACCGACAGTCCCCTCTTCTAGCTCCTCATTTGTGCGGACTCTTCATGAGTTCCCGTCCTTTCTCCCTGCATATGACCCCTAGGACTGTCACCTCAACCTTGGTCAGAAACACCAGCTGGAGGCCTATGGCTTCCACCCAAACCCCCCATCTGAGCCACTCTGGGACTCCAGCACCTGTTTTCCACTGGTCACTTGAGTGCTCAGAGCACATCTCAACTCGCCCTGCCTTGCCCATTTCCCCCTTATCAACAGCATCTTCCTCCCAGATGCTTGCTCCAAGATCCCAGGGCCATGTGTTTTCCCTCCAAATCTTCCACATCCCTCCACCACCCTATCCACGTGAGATGCCCCCAGTCCTCTGTGAATCTCCACCTCCACCCACCCAGGCCATCCCTCTGCCAGGGCTATTGCAGTAGCCTCCCCACTCTATCCCAGCAGTCAATCTCCACTCATTTTCATCATAGCCCTTGGTCCTTGTTGGGGAAAGGTGAGGACAATATTGATTTGAATACTTGGGACTAGGGAGACGGTCAATGGGAAAGTGCTGGGCTGGACAAGCATGAAGACCACATAGAAAGCCTGGCTGGGAGGCATGTGTCTGTAACTCAGAGCTGAGGGGCTGCGGAGGAGACAGGGGGTTCCCTGGGACTCATTGGCCAGCTAGTCTAACCAATGAAAAGCACAGGATTCAGTGAGGGATGCTGGCTCACAAAAACAGGGTAGAGAATCGATTGAGGAAGACATCTCAACATCAACTCCTGGCCTCCACGTCCTTGCGCGCGCGCACACACACACACACACACACACACACACACACACACACACACGAAAGAGAAAGGTGGGGAGGGAGGGAGGGAAGGAGGGAGAGAGGGAGGGAGGGAGGGAGGGAGGGAGGGAGGGAGGGAGAGCAACAGTTTGCTGAAGATTACCGAGATATTGCAAAGGAACAGAAAGGCCGTGATGTTTCTGAGGAGCCTCCTCTTGACTCCGCCCTGCAGGAAGTCCGGACAGCGGACTGTGCCTGCAGCCCCTTCCCAGACAGCCTCCTGGTCGTCTTTACCGCATCCCTGCTGCGGACACAGATTCCCATTGACGGCAGATGACCCATCCCGAGCCAACCCCTGGCTCCCGAGACCGGATGCAGCCAGTGCAGCAGCTTCACCACTGCAGACGGTGACCACGCGCAGAGTGCGCACATCCTCGGGGACCCCCTCAGGCTCGCGGTGCACCGACTCGATGATGAAAAGGTTCTGGACATACTTCTCCACAATCACCAGGACAGAGTAGGGCAGATTGTACCAGGTGTATGGCGGGCGGGTCTCAGCACAGGCAATGGCCAGAATGGAGCCCCAGGAAAGAAGCCATGAGCCCGAGGCTGTGGCCACCAAGAGGTCGGCATCCAGCTTGCGTGCAGGGTTCTTGGACTCGTCCAGGGATTTCTCATCCACCCTGTAAATCCAGGTTCCTACCAACCCAGCGGCCCCCATGAGCAGCAACACGGTGATAGCATACAAATAGAACAAGATGAGTGCCGACTCGCTCTTGGACTTGGAGCGCCCGATGTGGATCATGTACACCACAACCACCGTGATGGTGGCAGCCAGTACTGTCAGGCCCAGCACCGAGCCCACCAGGACCCCGTCGAATCTACACTGCATCTTCTGGTGCCGGGAGTTGTCCACCCTGCGCCCAATGTTCTTCCACAGCACGTAGAGCATGGTAGAGGCCAGGATCTGGTACTCGATGTTGAAGGGGTACAGATAGTAGATTCCGTGGGAGAGGGCAGAGCAGAGGGCAGGTGGTGTGCAGTTACACTGTGGTGTGTGGTCATCCAAAACTAGGGCGATAGGCAGAGGACAGAAGACAGCCATCAGCACAAGAAATAAGGAGACTAGTAAGCCCATCAGCCTGGACCTCACCACTAGACCCAACGTGTACATGAGCCATGTTTAGCATCATATTTAATGCCATGGCTATATGGAGAAAAAGAAGCAAGGATTCGCCCCCAGAATGGCATCAGCCATTTTCTAGTGGGATGCTAGTGTATAATGGCACTATTATAAATAGCATTGTAGAGATTTACTCATCACCACATAAAGATGGTCCAGAGCTACCACTGAACTTCTAAAGCAGGCTGCTAAAGAGGGCTGAGACTGTGGCACCATCTGTGTAAGAGAGAGGGGTGACAGTGGTAAGTGATAGATTGATTCATAAACAGAAAAAAGGTCCAGAAGCGCATAAACCAGAAGGGTAGTGGCGGTTCTCTCTGGTGGGAAGAGGCAGGGGTTTAAGGTTTTTTTTCTACATCTTGCTTCCCTACAATGTCTAATTTTCTCTGTGAATATGTTGTGTGTGTGCGCGCGCATGCATGCACGTGTGTGTGTGTGTGTGTGTGTGTGTGTGTGTGTGTGTGTGTGTTTAGACTATATGATTCAAGACTCTTGGGAAATGTCTCTTCTGATTGGAAAAAGCTCTCACCTAAATGTCGCTAAAATGGTATGAGACAGTTAGGAACTTGTAATCTCTTGCTGACTGCGCAACCTCAGACACTTTTCAGTGGCACGATGTCTCTAACCATTAATGGTTAATACTGCCCACCTCAGAGGAAGGCCAGGCCAGAGTTAATGAGCCTTGTGAAATATTTAGAGCCCTGCCTGGCAGTCAGCACGTGCCTAATAAAAGCCAGGCAGTGCCTATAAAAGTTTGCTTCTATTATGAAAATTGTCGCTGCTGGGGCTGCTATTGTAACCAAGAGGAAGTGAGGCCAAAGACAGAGAGCCCTTCCTTCCCACACAGACCTGTAAAAGTCATTCGTGCAGCCCGACAGAGCCACGTTTCTGCCCAGCCCCACGCACAGAAGACTGCAGCCAGAAGGATCTTTGAAAGCACAGAGTTTTGGAGTCTCCTTACTTTACAAAGAGGGAAGGCAGGCCCAGAGAGGTTGAATAGCCTCCAAAGGCCACACAGCTAGCATCTGATAAAAACAAGACCCAAACTCAAATTCTTCACTTCCCGGTGCACTGTGCTCCATCCTGCCTTCTTCTTGGTCCAGATGTTCTCAGACCGATGTGGTGAAGCCACACATGCTCAAGAACTCCAGGAGCAGATGTGAGGATGATTCACCCCCACCCCAGGCTAACTCCCCAGCAGAGCGAGGGAAAAATAAAGATGAGCCCAAATAATGAGTCAACTGCAGTCAGTCAGCTAAAAACCTTCACATGCACGAAGGCAGGCTGAGAGCTCCCCGGGGTTCACAGGCCAACCTCTCAGAAGAAAGATCGGCTGAAGGAGTCCTAATTAAAACGCCACCAGAGAAAACCACCAATCTTCCACAGTGGAAAAAAAAGACATGGAGCTCTCCAGCCAATGGGCTATGAGAGACAGACCCCAAATGATAACCCTGGGCCTCCACACGCCCAAGCCAGGTGAAGCCTATAATTACCGCCTTGGGGAGGCAGAATGAAGGCCTGCGGGGTTAGAGAAACTGTCCACAGTAGGGTCTATCTGCTCAGGTGGCTCCCCAGGGACCTGACTGGTTGAGCAGGGAAGGCTCCCTCACCTATGGTGATGTTGCCAAAGCCCAGCGTGATAAGCCGTTCCTTGTGCTCATTCAGTTGGTGCTTTGATTCATTCAGGACGCTGTTGGCCCACAGCAGCAGGTTCGTGAACACTGAGTGGATCACCCCGAACCTGAAAAGCACACATCTCAGGATATCTGCTCTTGAGTGGCCCTGGGAAAGGGCTGAGCCCGTGGGTAAGGCTGAGACCTCCCATGCATGTGTGCGCGCACACACACACACACACACACACACACACACACACACACACACACTCCTCCTCCCTCAGCCCTTGGTCCAGCTGGCTGAGAGTCAGAGCATCTGGGCATTCTGCCTTCACCTTGAACTTGCCTGTCTTTAAATCATTGTCTGTGGGACATCAAAGACACTGCATCTTGTGAGCGGGGACATGGGGAAGCAAATTTACTAAAGGCAAGCAACCACACCTGGAGGCCACTCTTTCTCCAAAGGGGAAACAGAGAGAACTATGAAGGAGATGGAAGGGCCAGGTGGACTGTGGACAGTAGGGACACCCTTGATGTTCTTTGACCAACCCAGAAACCATCGCCGTCCATTTCCTCTGCTTTCCCACCTGCCAGTAGAAAACAATCTGCACACACTTGCTCATGGCTTTCCTTGCAGCTGGTCTTGGTCTGTCTTACTAGGGCCGTTATAATGTATAATCTATGGTGAATTACTGAAAAGCTCTTGCTTGTTTGATGATATAAGAATTAGAAAAGTCTGTTTATGGACCCTTTTCCTTTCAACATCGTCTCCTTCAACAGTCTTGCACGAGGACATGAAGGCTGAGGTTGTGGCCGTCATCTTGTAACCATGAGCCAACCAGTATGGGATGAAGCCCCAACCCACCGAGGAGGGCAGAGTGTAAACACAGAAGAAGCCTGCTCCAGATCACTCTTTGGGTTTCTAAAGTCCCAGCTAGGCTCAGGAATTCCTCCACTGTCACACCTGAAGTGGCCATGCTGGAGTAGTGGAAACAATCTTAGCCTCTAAACCACACTGTGACCTCATCAGGAAGAGGGCACATGTGAGGTCGGACACTGGACTCTAGGGAACAGAAGAGAGATGGGAAGGACACATGGTCTCCATTTGGTCCCTGCCTCCTGTGAATTCCCTATATCCTGCTGTGGCTGCAGTTGTATTCACTTAAGGTAGCTTCTGGGCACTCTACAGGCACAGCAGCCCGGCTATCTAGGAGAGGCATCCAACAGTAGACTGGAGAGGAAAGCCTAAAGGAAGTTGTGGGTACTTCCCTGGCTTACCCAGAGGCAGCCGTGTATACTCCCCTGTCCAGCTCAGAGACCACCTATCCATGATTGAGTTATGGGAACACAGAAACATCTTCATCCCAGGCCTCCCTTCCTCTCCCCTAAATGTCCACCCCAGCTGAGTCCAGGCATCCCAAGAGCCAGGGAAGGCAGCACCTTCCTGTGTGATATGGCTACCTTGGCATCTGCCCAACTACCAGAACTAAGGCAGAAAAAAGGAGACAGCACGGGTGTCTGTCCATCGGCCTGGCCCTGTGCCTGCCCTGTTGCTACAACTCACAACCCGCTTGCTCTATACAGCCTTTGACAGCCCAGACAATGCCATTACCTCTGGCAGGTGGCTTTCTTTTATTACAGTGCACACAGCTGCCCTTCTGTTTCCCCTTTCCCTGTTCCCATGTCCAATCCTGAGCCTGCTGAAGCCACAGAATCAGTATGAGGTCACCAAGGGTCATGCTGTTTGGCCACGCACCATCCTAAGAACGGTAGCCTTCCAAGGTCAATTTGAAAAAAGTCCTTCAAGCTAAGGACAAGTGTCATGTCCCATGCCTGAGGCCTTCCCCACACTTAGTGCCTGTACATCTAGACCATGGTGACAGGATGCATCCCAGGATTCATCTCTAGTATCCATCTGTGCTTCCTAAGATGTGTGAAGAACCATAGTCCCTCTCAACTGCATGTCTGGGGAAAGAGATGGATGGAATCCCAAAAGGGGCAATCCCGACCTGGGAGGAACTTTGCAGAAGCCACTGACAAAGGATGTGGCAGGATGGATGTCATTCATACAGCTCATGCAGGAGGCTAGGAAAGTCCTAAGTCCACAGGACCCAGCCAGAACTGCCAACACAGTAACTGGCATAGAACTGTGGCGACTATCCTCAAGTGAGGCCAGCCCTCCCTAGAGGAGCACCCTGGATTCAACTCTAGCCTCAGTCATGACATATGCTTGAGACAACCTCATCTTCCACTTTTTTCTAAAGAACTTGACATCTAAAAATCTAAGAGTTGTAGGAATTAAAAATGTTTGCCATCTTGCTCGACACATTAACAGATGGAAAAGCATACCCTCACCCCGAAATGGGTAGAGACCAGATGTGATAGTGGCCATGGAAGCCTAGGCCTAGGCTGGTCTCAATCTCAGTGTCCCTACATAGCCAAGAATGACCCTTGACCTCCTGACTCTCCCATCTCTTATTTCTGAGTCGGGCTACAGACAAGCACCACCATGCCTGGTTTATTCAGTGCTAGGGCTTGAACCCAGGGCCATGCATGCTAGACAAGCACTCTACCAACCGAGCCACCTCATCAGCCTTAAGTGATGGCTTCTGGAGGTCCTGGATCTCAATGACTACTCTTTCCCTTGGGGGAACCATGTGAGCATACTTCATCCCCTGCCCACCTTGCCCAGGAGGTGGGGCATCTGGTATTCCTGACACCAAGGTTAAACATCACTGCCAAGGTCACTGCCCCAGCCACATGATGGATGCAAACCCCAGGGTGCCTCCCACACAGCCAAGGATGCCTTAGTATCATCACCACCCACCCCACAGCACCAGGCCACTAGCCCTGTGCAAACTGGGGACACAAAGGATGTGCTTGGCAATAGACTTAATCTCTACATCTGCAGCCTGTTGAAGCCGTGCTATCCAGTGGTCACACATCAACCAATCTTCTCAAGGCCAGTGGTCATCTCAAATGCTGGAAGGGAGGAGTTGATTCCCCCAAGGAAATGGTGTATGCAATACTAGGTCTTTCCACAGAGCATGTGTTTACTCCTCGATCCATCCATATTTAACCTGCCCTTGGAGAGTTCACCTCTTCCTTCTGGCCATTCTTCCCTTGACCACATCCTAACCAGGGAGAACTGGTGGCAGGCCCAACACTCGATGGACACGGGTCATGCACTTTGTGACAGTTATCCTCAGCGGTAGGCCACCTCACTGCTCCCACCTCACAGATGAGTAAACTGAGGGCCATGAAAGGGAAGTAGGCGATGGCAGAAAAGTTCCCACCCACATCCTTGTCTTCCAGGAATGACTTGGGAGAAATGGACATTCTAGAAGGGCTTTGCTTTCGGGGTGGAACAGAACTCTGCTCTCAGGGCTGATAGCCCTAGCTGGATGCCAGTCCTGAGTCTCGTTTCTTCTAACATTTAATCTAAACAAATATCAACCAACAAGCAAAGCAATTGCTCGAAGTTTTTACCTTTCCAAGGTTTTGAAAGACAGGATAATATCCTTAGCATGGCCCCAGAGAAAATAGACCTAGATGGAAATAAAGGAAAACATATTAGTGAGGAAACTGCCATTCTGTTTGCACACTTGAGAAGTTATGAAACTGGGGGGAAAGAGATGACTCTCCTCAGCAGAGCCATTCTGCAGTGGGAATAGTGATCCTGTGAGAAGTCAGGTGGGGCCTCCCAAGACAGGTGGAAGGAGTGCTGCAATGAATTAAGAATGTCTGCTATGGGTGGAGATCTGTATTTGATTGAGGGGGTCTCCTGAGAAGGTAGAGTTAGAACTGTTTGGTGATATCTGCTGTGGATGGAGCTGTGCTGCAATTGATTGAAGATGTCTGGTCTGGGATAGGCATGTGGGCATCAGTCTGTTTGTCATGAAACTCCCTAAGTTGTTCTTCAGTCATATTTGTCAGGTTTTATCCAATAATTTTCCATTGAACAGCTACTCTGCACCAATGTCCAGAAAGCAAAGACTGAGCACTTTCAGTGAAGAGCAGGATTGGTTTGGGTTGGGCTCCTTTTGGCTCTCACTTATGCTATCCAGCCCCCTGGCCATCATCATTAACAGTGCAGGGGAGAAGGATGCTGGAACAGGCTGTCTCCCTGTGGACTGGAATGCATGGGACCAGGAGTGTTTTAGGTTCCAGAGCTCACATGGGTGGCCCTGGTTAAATAAAGCAATGAGCAAAGCAAAATAGAAAGACAAGAAACTGGGAGGGGACTTGATGGAGGAGGGGGGTGTTAGTGTGGGTGCCTGAGGGATCAGAGAGGGTGAAGATGGATGTGACCAGAGTGTATTATACACATGCATAAAATTGTCAAAGAATGAATACAGTCTTTAAATATCAGGAAATTTGGGTCAAGGAAAGTTAAAAACAAAAAAGAAATACACCACATAGGAGATAGCTCACTCAAGTAAAGTACTTGCTGCTCAAGCACGAGGACCTGAGTCCTATCCCCAGGACCCACAGTAAAGCTGAACCCCCATGGCTCACTGAGCAAATAACCTAGCTGGATTGCCAAGCCCTAAGCCAATAAGAAACCTGTCTCAAAATACAAAAATAGATGGCGTCATAGTTAGCTTCGGTTGTCAACTAGACACAACCCAGAGTCACGTTGGAGGAGGAATTACCTTCATCAGACTGACCCATGGCTATGTTTGTGAAGCAGTTTACTGATTGCTAATGATGTGGGAGACCCCAGCCCACTGTGGGCAGTGCTGTCCCTAAGCAGCTGGACCTGAGCTGTATAAGAATGGTAGCTGCGTGGAAGGGCGCAGTGGTTAAGAGCATTGGCTGCTCTTCCAGAGGAACAAGATTTAATTCCCAACACCCACATGGCAGCTCACAACTGTCTATAACTCTAGGACCAGGGGTTCTAATACCCTTTCTGGCCTCCAGGGGCACAGACAATTGTGCTGACAAAACATTCATACACATAAAATAAAGATAAACTTTTAAGTAAGCAAGCTAGAGAGAACAAGCCAGTAAGAAGTGTCTCTGCCTCCAGGTTCCTTCCTTGAGTTCCTGCCCTGCCGTCCTTCGATGATGGACTCTAACCTATAAGCCAAACAAGCTTTGCCCCCAAGTTGCTTTTGGCCAGTATTTTTTCACAGCAGCAGAGAAGCTGACTAGGACAGATGGCTCCTAAACAATGTGCACATGCCTAACCATATATACATACAGATACACACACACACACACACACACACACACACACACACACACACACACACACTCATGCATGCACACACAGGAGCGTGCTCCTGGTATGACCAGAAGTGTTGCCCTGGCAAACATGGTACCTCACTCCACACTGGCCAGATACCCTCTTCTATGCTCTGCCACCCTGGTCAGAGCACCAAGCATTACAGGGTGAGGTCACAGGATTTCTGCAGTAGATGAAGGACTGTGTTTGACTGAGGCTATCTGAAGCAGATGGAGGGTAGCATTTGACTAAGGATATTGTTACTGCAGCATTGAAAGGCCAGAACTCTATTGAGACTGTTTAAGGAAAAGCATTTCCTCCTAGCCAAGGGAACAAACTCTCTAGCCTGGGTGGAGACCTAACATTCCAATCTACCCAGAACATAGGCATGAACCCAGCTGTGTCTGTCAATCACCTGCCCAAGGACCACCCCTCAGGAAGTGGATTCACTTTACACTATGCTAAACATAAGGGAGGAATAATTATTCCCTTAATGAGATAATGTGCTTTTCCTTCCCAGAATGCCCACCCTCTGTGCGGTCTCTAGAACTGCACTATGAGAGCTAGGTTAAGTTTACCCATTTTTCTGAGTTACTCAGAATAACTTTTTTTAAGCCTCATTTCCCTTCTTTTGGCTTTTTTTTTTGGGGGGGGGCTCCTTCACTCTTTCTCTGCTCTGCTTCTTCATGCAGCTGCTTGTCTGCCATGTGGCTGGTTGCTAACCTCAATAGGCATGCTTTTCTCTCTTCCTCTCCATATCCCTTCTCCTGGCAGCTGCCAAGACTTGCAACTTCCCAGATCTGTTGTTTCCCTTTTAAATTCTAATAAAACTGTCTACAAGCTTCCTTCTGAGTACTTTCTTCATTTCTTTTATTAATGAGGCTAAGAGCCCTGAGGGGGGACCATAATTTACCCAGAAATATGGGGTACCCCAGATGGAGCTCCCCAAAATTTCCAGCAACCATATCTGAGGTAGATGGAGGGTTAAATTTGACTGAGAATGTCTGCTGCACGTGCATTTGATCAAGAGTGCCTACTATAGATGGATCTACATTTGACTGAGGATGTCTACTATAGATGGATCTACATTTGACTGAGGATGTCTACTATAGATGGATCTACATTGACTGAGGATGTCTACTATAGATGGGGCTACATTTGACTGAGGATGTCTACTATAGATGGATCCACATCTGACTGAGGATGTCTACTATAGATGGATCTACATTTGACTGAGGATGTCTACTATAGATGGATCTACATTGACTGAGGATGTCTACTATAGATGGATCTACATTTGACTGAGGATGTCTACTATAGATGGATCTACATTGACTGAGGATGTCTACTATAGATGGATCTACATTTGACTGAGGATGTCTACTATAGATGGATCTACATTTGACTGAGGATGTCTGCTATAGATGGAGCTACATTTGACTGAGGATGTCTACTATAGATGGGAGGTGCATTGGACTGAGGATGTCTACTATAGATGGGGGGTGCATTGGACTGAGGGTATCTATGGTGGATGGGGCTACATTTGATCAAGGGTATCTATTGTGGATGGGGGAGAGGGGGCTATAACTGATCAAACTACCATCACCGTGTCCCAGAGGTAAGCTGTCTTAATCTAAACACATCTACAGTCCTGGAAATTGAATGTCCAAGTTCAAGATGTTAGCAGAGTCAGTTTCTCCTGGGACCTCTCTCCTTACCTGGAGATGATACCTTTCAATGTGAGCCCTCACTTGGTTGTCCTTCTGTGTGTGCCTGTGTTCTAGCTTGCCTTATAAGGACCCAGGATTTATTGGATCAGGGCCACCCCAGGGACTTCCTTTTCCTCAGAAAGGCCCGGTCCTCTACTATTGGCACAATCTCACAGATGCTGAGAATCAGAATTCATCAAATGGACATAACAGCTTTTACCTGTGAGACAGCCCCTTCCCCTTTGTCCCATCATGATCTCCCAGCCTTTCCCACCAGTCCACCACCGAACCAAGCTACCCAAGCTCCTCTGCTACCTCTTCTCAGCTGCTCTTGCCTGGGATGGTGTGTTAGAAGCATTCCTAATCCTCTGAGCTGTCTGCGAAACCTAAGATGTGTGTGAACTAGAAGTGTCTTTGAACAGAAGATGATTTCCCTTTCCTGGGGTTCAACACGGTTTCGGAAGGGTCTTTTCAAGCTGTGAGTCCAGAGCATCTGAACGGTAAGTTTGGCTGAACCAAGTTCATAGTCCCCCAGGGTTACTCGGGAGGAGGAAATATCTTTGCTTCTTGCCATGATATAAGCAAATCTCTGGTCTTCTCTGAGCTCCACTGACTTCCTCAGAAAACCACAAGGCTTAATTCTATCATCTCTGACAAACCTGGAGGACATTATATAAAGTGTGCCAGGGACAGAAAGACAGACAGTACATGACCCACCAAATATGGAATCTCAAAAATGAAGACTTGAATACACAGTAGAACAGAGACTGAGTGGGGGCAGGAGTGGGACGATGCAGGCAAAGGGCCCAAACCGGCAAGCATACAGGACGACTGTCTCGAGAGCTGATGGCCAAGATAAGGGTTACAGCGGGATATTGTGTTGTCTACTGCAGGCTTGCTGGCACTGCCTTAGAGGTGCTCTCCCCACTAATAAGACCAAGAAGGGAAACCGAGGCACCAGATATAGCAATTATCTTGACTGAAACATCTCCCATGTGTACATATGTGAAAATATCATGGTATACACCTTAGATATATAAAATTAAAAAAGAGTAAAGAAAAGATTGATGACCTAGCATCTGTTCTTGTGTTAAAATATGCTTGTTATTGATTAGCACACTAACTGGACATAGCTATGCTGTGCAGTGCACTTCCCACACGTGCAGTGTGCAATGAGCACATAGAGTCATTCTGTGTGTGTGTGTGTGTGTGTGTGTGTGTGTGTGTGTATGTGTGTGTGTGTGTGTGTGTGTCGTGCGCATGCGCACACATGTGGAGGTCAAGGGAAAACTTTGTGGAATTGGTTCCAGGACCTGGACTAAGGTCTCCAGGCTTGCACACACGTGCCTTTAACGGCTGAGCCCCTTTGCTCGTTTCTTTATGTTGAGAACATGCCGGCTTTACTAGTTACTTGGAAATACTCAGTTAATCTCTGCCGCCCATCATTGCCCCTTCCCTCCGCTGTGCTGTAGAACAGTAGACCTTCTTGCTCCTCTCCAGCCACCCTCTGTACCTAGTCGCTGTCCTCTCTCCAGCCCTTACACACCTACAGCCTTCCCAGGCTCTGGTAGTCACTATTCTTTCTGCATTTCCACACGATCAACCTTTTACTGTCCTTGTGAGAGCACGGTGTCTGTCTCTCAACTCAGTTGGTAGAGTGCCAGCCTAGCATGCAAGAAGCTTTGTGATCAATCTCCAGCACTACATAAACAGAAGTATTAACACACAGGCCTATCGTCCCAGAACTTCAGAGGTAGAAGCAGGGAGATCAGGAGTTCCAAGCCTTCCTGGCCAAGCTGAGCAGCATGAGCTCATGTCTTCATCCTGGACTGATTTCATTTCATACAACATCCTCCAGCTCCGTCATGTTGCTGCCTGTGGTGGAATTTCACTATTGCTATGGTTGAATAGTATACTCTTGTGGATACATAGCATCTTTCCTCATCCATCCATCCATCCATCAACGAACACTGTATTTGTTACTTTGCATCAAAATGAACCAAAATTCCTGACAGAAACTGCTAAAAGGAGGAAGGCTTGTGCGGGTGTCCCCTCATGGTGTTTATGGTGGCAGGAGTGCGTGACAGAGGCTTGTCATATCATGTCAAACCAAAAGCAGAGAAAGGGACAGGAACAAGGCCAGACCCAGTGGTTGTGCTTGTAGCCATCAAAAGACCTACCTTCTAAAGATTCTATGGCCTCCAAAACTAGGGTCACCAGCTGGGGACAAGAACTCAACACAAGAAAACACTTTGTGTGTCCTCAAGTGCTATAAAGATGCTGGCCATGATTTTCCTTATCAGAGTAACTCTCAGCCACTAAAGAGCCCCACTAAGGCCAGGTGCCACACCGGGGTCTATCTAAGACTCTCTGCAGTCAGGGGGTGTGTTTTCTGCCCGTGAGCTATGCATTCAAATGGCATCTATCAAATCCTTACTTCTTAAAGAAACAAAGTTCATCGTCCATGCTGAAAACAAGAACCTCATAGTGTTATAAAAGGTTCCAGCCCACAAGAGGGGAAACAAGAGTCCCAGTGTTGCAGAGAAGCGCCTGGACCAGCTCATGATTCCTGACAGGAGCCACAGAAATATCCTAAATAGGGCCCTGCCCGCTATCTGTGTTGATGCTGTGGGCTTTTGCACACCAGCTGCACAGGAGCAGAGGCAGCATGAGGAAGCACCGATGGCTCACCTGCAACAGCGTATGCACTGCATGGGTGACCGGGAAAACGCCCTCTGTGGCTGACAAGCACGCGGAAAATCCAATGAAGTATGCGACTTTCAAGCATCCCAGGATGACGGTGATGAATGCGAACAATGTGATGCTTCCTAGGCAGGAGAAACGCACGCGTGTTAGCATGCACAGTGTCATCCCAAACAAATCATGTCAACTCTAGAGCATGTGGGTGAAAGGTGCCGAGACCACACCGTGGGAAACTCAGCACTCACAGGCAAAAGTATGAAACTGGACCTTCCATTATCCTGTATGCAAATGTTAACTCAAAAATTCTATCAAAGCTAAAAGAGGCAAAACTATTAGGAAAAAATGTAAGAGAAAGCCTAATGAGATTGGATCCGTCAATGTATCAAAATGAAAAGGTGTGTGAACCACAGAACATTCTCAACAAAGAAAGAGGGCACCAAAAATGGGAGGGAATATTTGAAAATTACCTTTTGTGGTGGTTTGAATGAAAATGACGCCCATAGGCTCATGGTGATTGGCATTATTGGGAGCTGTGACCTTGTTGGAGTGGGTGTGGCCTTGTTGGAGGAAGTGTGTCACTGGGGGTGGGCTTCGGGTTTCAGGAGGCCAAGCCAGGCCCAGTGTCACGCTCTCTTTCTGCTGCCCACCAATCCAGATGTAGAACTCTCAGCTTTCTCTCCAGCACCATGTCTGCCTGCATGCTGCCATGCTTCTTGACATGATGATAATGGACTAAATCTCTAAACTGTAAGCCAGCCCCAATTAAGTGTTTTCCTTTATAAAAGTTGCCATGGTCATGGTATCTCTTCACAGCAATAGAACCCTAACTAAGACACCTTTCTACAGAGCCATCAATATCTACAGCATTTACAAAGACATCTGCAGAATGAAACCAGCCAAAGGAACCTGAACAGACATTTCTCCAAGGATGATATAAAAACAGCCACAAAGTACAGGAAAAGGTGCCCCAAATCACTAAACATTAAGGAGAGGCAAGCCAAGACCAAGAGACTATCTTAGTTAGGGTTTCTATTGTTGTGAAGAGACACCATGACCATAGCAACTATTATAAAGAAAAAACATTTAATTGAGGTGGCTTACATTTTCATAGATTTAGTCCTTTATCATTATGGTGCGACATGATGGCATGCAGGCAGACATTGTGCTGGAGAAGTAGCCAAGTGTCCTACATTTTGGCTTGCAGGCAACAGGAAGTGGTCTGAGACACTGGACAGTATTGGTATCTTGAGCATGTATGAGACCTCAAAGCCTGCCTCCACAATGACACACTTCCTCCAACAAGACCACACCCAGTCCAACAAGGCCACACCTCCTAATAGTGCTCCCTTTGGGGGCCATTTTCTTTCAAACCACCACAAACAGTAAGTCATCCCTGCTAAGACTGTTAAATACTATTTAATAATTTTATGTGTATGTGTGTGTTCCTGGGTGTATGAATGTGCACCATATGTTTGCAGTGCCTTCAGTGGCCAGAAGAGGGCATCAGATCCCTTGAAACTGGAGATACAGATGGTTGTGGTGTCCTGAGAACTAAATCCTGGTCCTCTGCAAGAATAGCAAGTACTCCTAACCCCTGAGCCATCTCTCCAGCCCCTAAGATAGGTACTATCAACAAACAAACAACAAGGGCTGGGTAGATGATGCTGTTTTGAAGCATTTTCCTGGCAAGCATGAGGACCTGATTTCAGATCCCCACTACCCACATAAAAACTGGGCATGGCCACATGTACCTGTAATCCCATAGATGGAGAGATGGGAAATTTGCTTGCTGACCAGATAGCCTTGCCTATTTGGTGAAGTAGTAGGCTAGTGAGAGACACTGTCTCAAGCAAGGGGATGATACCTGAGGAGTGACACTAAAGACATTCTCTAATCACATACATCTTCCACATATACACAAACTCCTATGCACAGGTATACACACACACATACATGAAAGTAAACTAGAAAGTTGACTTCTTAAAACTCAATAGTAAGAGCATCTCTACTAGCAATCAGAAAAGGTGCCAGGTAAGGTGAAGAGTTAAGCAGTTTTTTATACTATTAATGATTTTGACTGGAAAAAACCCACACATATAGAGAAGTCTGGCCAGGAATTACAAAACCCATTTGGAAGGTGCTGGACAAATGCAAATCTGGGCAAGGAAAGCAGCTGTGCCGGACATGTGGGTAGTGTCCAAGCTCCTGGGCCCTCCTGGCATCAATGACCTGACTCACATGTCCTCTCCCACGCACAGAGGAAACTGGATCACATGAGTTGGGCATTGGGGAACCAAGGTGAGAGCCAGGCAGGAGTGATCGCATTACACGCCGCCAGAGCCACCTCTGGGGAAATGCCACAGCCCAGCTCACTGCTGCCACTCGGAGCCCTATAGAAATGACGAGAAGTTGTGTTTTGTGAATCCTGGCAAATCCCCAGTGAAATCAGAACCTCTGTCAGAGTGGAGATTCAATCCCAGTGCTTTCAGAGTGGCTGATGAATACAAGGTTCTTTCTGATTTATAAAATAATAATAATAATCATAATGGTAACAAGACCACATGAAGCAGCCTGGTTGGGTGGCCAGAGCTAAGCCCTGAACTATGGGATCCTGGGTACCAGACAGGTGTGTGTGTTCCTACATGTCATCTCCCTAACCCTAGACTCGATTCCCCGCCCCCATTAAATGAAAACCGTCTACAGTAGTGGTGTACAAACCTGAGCATGCATCAGAATGCCCTGGGAAGAGCATTGATAAAGCTCCTACTGCTGTGCTTTATGCCGGTTTCTGGCTCAGTAGGTGCGAGGTGGGGTTCACAGTATCTCTAACAAGTTCCCTAGTGGGTAGATGAGGTTGTTCTGGGGCCCCAAAGTGCTCTAGAGTGTCTCGGTGATTGACAGTGCATTTGTTCTGCCATGAAACCCTCCCTGGCCCTCTCAGTCCGAAGTCCTCCCTTCCTTCCTTATATCCACTCACTCATCTACTGACACAGTCTGAGGTCTCTTCCCATCTGGGTTTGGTTGTAGATTGTGTGTGTCCCAAGGTTCGTGTGCTGGAAGCTCACCCTTCAGTGTGATGATGGGCGGGGTAGAACCTTTAAAAGGAGAAGTGGGGAGAGGATATTACTCCATCGGGACACACACAAAGTTGGGTGGGAAGACGGGGAGAGGATCTGAGAATATGAACAAACTACGTTGTATGAAATTCTCGGAGCTAATAAATTTTTTAAAGGTGGGGATTAATGGAATGTATTTAGATCATTGGAAACGGTCTTTAGGAAAGACTAATATAGTTCTCTTGGGGCCCCAGTTTGCTCTCATGAGAGCAGGTTGCTATGGGGAGGCCATCCACATGCTTAGCCCTTTCCATATGCCACTGGACCACTTTCTGCTCTTCTGGGCTGCTATGACACAGTAAGGGGACCTTTGATAGGATGCTAGCCCCAGGCTCTTTAAACACTCCAAACATCAGAATCATGATGTTTACATTAGACAGTACCGAGCCTTGGGTATTTTGTTACAGCAACACAACATGGAATAAGGCACCTACTCAAGGATAAAGAAAGAGAGAGGAGAAGAAACAAATGTTCACAAGGACAGCATGGTACAAATTAGGATATTGAAGAAGAATAGGGGGTGAGCTGGCACTAGGCTTCTCTTGTGCAGCTTGGGAGACCAGAAAACAGTAGGAGTTTCTCAAAAAAAAAAGTCCATAGACCTGGCTTCCAGGTGAGGTGTCACCTGTCTGCTGGGCCAGAAGAGAGAAAGTTGTTGAGAGACAACATACAACTCATTCTACAATGAACTTTTGCACATCAACTGTGAGTCACATCAACCGTGAGTCGGTCACTGTCCTGGGCACGGGGTGGGGGAGGTATGAAAGTCAGTAGAAGAGGAGAGGAAAGCTTCTTGGGGAGCTTCTACACATTAGAGGGGAAGACAGAAAACCAAGATGTACGAAGAGCGGGCGGAGGTGCTGTGGACCGGAAGGGATGTGGTGTGGGACAGAGAGTGAGCCACTAATGGAAGTGGTCAGGAAAGGAGTCTCTGAGGGAAGCTAGTTGAATAGAGAAGAGCAAGGAGCTATGTGATCTGGCCAGCTGTCTGACAAGCCAGCGAAGTAGTTGGAAGAGAGTTCAAAGAGGGAGAAAGGGAAGGAAGGACAATGGTGACCAATACACTTTGTAAACGCTTGGAAGTACACTGGGTGGGGGTGAGGGGGATGGACAGATTAACAGATGAACTGAAAAACAGACAGAAGGATGGGTTGGTGGATGAGAGAGAATAGTCAAGAAGAGAGATAGCTTACTAGATGAGACTCTGAGTTCAAATGTCTGGAGATAAACTGCCGAGGTGGTGTGGGTGGCTTGCTCTGTGAAGACAACTCACAGAGTGAACATCTGGAAGGTGGGATGCTGTCTCTGCAAAGCCTATAGGCGAGAGAAGGGCCAGATGTGGAAGAGAAGAAAGGCTTTGGAAGTCTGGTGATGAGAAAAGACAAGTTAAGGAACGTAGAGGCAGCAGGGACAAGAGACTGAAGAAGCAGGTAAGTCCGGATGGTCCGGAGAGGCAGGAGGCACAGGGCATAACAGAGCAGGAGGCAGGCCGACTTGCTGGAGCAGGCATTTAGTATTTTTTTCTCCAAATATAAAGAGAGTTACATGCCCTAGATTATAAGGCAAGAGAAAATTAGTCAGACTTGAGGCTTGTGGGGCAGAAAAGAAGAAAATTCCAAGTGCTCAAAAGAAAAGGAAAAAAAAAGGCAAACATGAAGAGATCCGAGATGACCTGGTGTGGGGGAGTGGAGGATGATATGATCTGAAATACATTGAATACATGTGTCAAATTATCAAAGAACAATTTAAAAATACGGTAATTCTAAAAGGCAAGCATGAGGGATAATGTAAAATATAATCATTATCATCATAAATAAAATAGAAACAAGAGTCAGGTATGGAAACCATACAGGAACCCAGAATTGTCTCATTTACCAGGAAGCAAGGTCAGAAAGGCTGAATTAGAAATGAAATGAGGGAAACATGCTCTCTCTATGACTAAGTGGTTAGTGATGGAAGGTTAGGGGTGGGCGAGGGGAAGCGGGCGAGACAAACAGAAAGTGGGAAGG